ATGGGAGGGTTGGGGGTTCGAATCTACCACTATGTAGTCACATGCTGAAGAGTCCCTGGGCAAAACACTGAGTCCCTCATAGTGTCCATCGGTGTATGAATGTGATCTAAAAGCACTGATTAGTCTATTTAGAATGATTTGTTCAATTAGCTTTGTACAGATGTAGTATAGTACTGTATGAATGTCAGAAGATCTTACGTGACTATATCTTGCTCTTTTATCAAAAACCAATATTAAACAAGTTGAAAAGATTATTTCCATATTGTTCCCAATGGCAATCCATGTTAGACTAAAAAGTAAAAATAAATAAAAAACTTTACCTAGTAAACACTCAGGTTTGAAGCTGAGTGACATTTTCCACTCAAAGAGCAGCATGTTGGTTTAAAAATGTAATAAATTCTGATTAAATCAGGTACACTGACGGGTTAAAAGTCAAGCATTCAGAAGAAGTGATGGAAATAAAATGATGTTTGTAATGTCATGTGACTCTATTGCCAGGATTACAGTGTCAGATCAAATGGATGATAGAGTTGGCAGCACTAGTACACTGCTGGTCACATGACATTAGCGTGTGGCACCACCTCAAGCCACGATACAAGTGATGATTTGGAGCAGAGTTGTACAGACACTGTCCCCTCCTGAAGCGAGTAGACCCACAGCTGCTGTAACTGACCCTCAAGATCCAGTAGATCAGCACTGGGTTAGAATTGGCATTTGATCCAACAAATGTTTGACTGGGAAAAGATTGGAGGACCTGCTGGACATGGGAGGACCTCAACGTGACGCAGGCAGTTCATAGACACACGTGGCGTCAGTGAGATGTGGTGCAGCATGAATTATAAAGAGTTGAATACCTGCGTTCAGATGGCATGAGTTTATTTAAGGCTGAGCAGCCATAACCTTCACATTGTGTGTGGATACTCTCACATGCACATCAGTTTCAACATGGAGCCACTGAGACATCTGTACTCCACACATCAGGCAACTCTAAAGACCCGCGGCTTTATGCAAGCCCACAATGTGGCTCTTACAAAACATTCTCAAGCGATCGTTATGTCGTTTAATGCATCTACAAGGTGTTAGGACAAAACTTCCAATTCAATTAAATTCTGTTTATTTATACAACGCCAAGTCACAACAGAAGTCATCTCAGGGCACTGAACAGAAACATTCATATATAAAAATAATAAGTTAACATTATTTATCTGAGGAGCAGACTGCTTTGAGTTTAACGTCATCGCAGACTCTCATCTTGAACAAGCACGAAGGAGACAGTGGAAAGGAAATGTCCCTTATGAGGAAGAAACCTTTAGCAGAACCAGGCTCAGGACAAGTGGTCATCTGCTTCGAATGGTTGGGTTTGAGAGGAACGGATACACAATGGCAGGTCAAGAATAACATGTTAAGATAGAAATAATATCAAACGAAAACTATTAAATTTTAACAATTCATTTTAGGAAATAAGGTCAATTTATCCTCTAGTAGTCTAAGTCTATGGCAGCATAACAAGCCAATCCCAACTATAGGATTTATCAAAAAGGAAAGTCTTAAAACTGGACAATGTGTCAGCCTCATGGACAGAAACTGGAAGTTAGTTCCTCAAGAGAGGAGCCTGATAACTGAAAGATCTTCCTCCCATTCTGCTTTTGGAAACTCTAGGAACCGCAAGTAAACCTGCAGTCTGAGAGCAAAGTGCTTTGTTAGGAAAATATGGAACAATAAGATCTCGAATATAAGATGGAGCTAGGTTGTTGAGGGCTTTGTATTTTGAATAAATTTCTGGACTTGACAGGGAGCCAGTGGAGGGAAGCTAAAACTGGAGATATATGGTCTCTCCTTCTAACTCCAGTTAAGACTCTGGCAGCAGCATTTTGGATCAACTGAAGACCTTTAAAAAGTTTTTTTCCCTTACAGATAAAATAAAATCCCTGTTCATAGGAATTAATTTCTCATGGCTTTTCAACAATATGCTCTTAATCTGTGACCGTACAGGCTGAGGCAGCTTTACACCAAAGAAAGACTTGATCTACTCAGTTTCCTTCTGTCTTATTCTTCTCATACCTGCCATCTCTCCCATCTCCCCCCTCCTCTGTCTCTCCCTCAGTGAGTGTCTGTGAGCTGCAGATTTATGAAGCAGCTGAGCTGCTGACGGCCGCGGTCCGGCCAGAAAAAAGCGATTTGTTCAGAGATTAAAGACAATGACAAAAGAGAAGGAACCATTAATGACGTTGTGGACAGATCATCAGTATGAGTTGAGTGTGCATGTCCTTTCTGAGGTCTTCTTTGTTTGAGAAAAAAAGTCAGACACATGAATCTCTCAGCACTGCAGAGGTACAGCTCATTTTTAATGAAGCCCCGACATTAAGATTAAATTGTTTCCTGGGATACTTCATCCTCTCTAAAGGTGCAGTTATCTGCGATAGAGTTTGTTTTGCTGGTTTTGTACGATGACTCATACTTTCTAACCCTCAGTGGGTTTATTTTTATATCAGACGTCAAGAAGTAATAGTAGAGTAGTCAAGAAACGATGTAATGGAACATTTGTTTTAGGAAATGACCAAAGACATTCAGGGAGGTGACCTTGAGTCCTCTTGGTCCAAACCTCCTGCCATATGTGTCCCAGTTTGAGCAGTGGTGTTGATGGTGCTGTTGGCACCCCTCCTGTTCGACCTTATTACCTGTGCCACGGAGTGCGCCCCCAAAGCAGAGCTGTCCTGTCACAGAGTGTCAGGGCAGGTGCACCAAAATGACCCGTCCCACCTGACTCACCTTTCTTTGTCTGTCCTGTCAGCTAAAATATTTTAATCACTTTTCTATGCACTTTATCCCCCGACGCTGAGAACGAACAATAATGTTTTAGCCAGTGTCTGTCTATTCCCAAAATATCTCGTGAACAAACAGATTTTAATGAAACTTGCATGGATGTACAGCAACAACTGGTTATCTTTTTGAATCCATATGATTCAAGATGGCTCCCACAGACGAGTGATATTAGAGAACACAAAATTATTATAATTCAGTCAGTTTGACAGATATCGTGTTAAAATGTGGAGTGGTGGTGGCTGGGAGTCATTTTCAACGCATACTCCAAATGCTACGCACAGTGCAAAATCTTTACTTAAAATTAGCTGTAGTAGTCAACCCAGTTAGTCTGTTAGTAAAATATCTCATGGATCATGAGACATACTGAATTTTTCACATAGTAATGACTGTATCGGATGTATGTTTCAAACTGATTAATGCTTTGAGTTTATCTATTTTAGGATGTCCACCACAGCTCATTGAGCTTAGTCAGCACAAAAAAATGCATATAAATTTGTGAATTTTCCAGCTATTGAGCTAAAATTTGATTTGGTGGTACCTGAGAGTCATCCTCATTAACATTCATAACATCATATGAGATTGCATACGATGTTATTTTCAAAGTCTGACCAAAATGGCTCCAACTCAGTCGCATCTCCAGAGAAGATGAACTTATGGATGGTCATGTGCATTCCTTTAAGGAACATTAGGTCTTTTTCTTAAGTTTTGGACAGTTTTTACTTTTAGGTGGCAAAGCAGTGCAGTGATTAGAGCTGACGCCTCACAGCATAAAGGTTGTTGGATTGAATCCCAGCCTGGGACTGGCATGTTCTCTCTGTGCATATGTGGTTTTCTCCAGATGCTCCAGTTTCCTCCCACAAACCAACAATGTTTGGTTCATTTGTAGATTGTTCCTTGTGTTTGTGTACTTCTTTTACGCAGTAAACTTTGTACAAAATATAAACCTTTCCCCTGTTTAATAGAGGAAAACAGCATTTTTTACTCTTCTTGTCTTTTTTTTTTTTTTTTTAGCAAACCTCCCAGTTGTGATTTGAATAGGAGAAAACAGGTCTGCATGAAGAGTCAACTGGAAATGGTGGGAATCCAAAATAACTCCCCATTTATTAACTGTTGTTGGAGCTTGTCCCTGGGCAGCACGGTGGTGCAACTGGTAGAGCTGCTGCCTCTCAGTGAGCAGGTCCTTGGTTCAAACCCCGGTCCAGGGGCCTTTCTGGGTGGAGTTTGCATGTTCTCTCCGTGCATGCGTGGGTTTTCTCTGGGTACTCCGGTTTCCTCCCACAGACCAAAAACATGCATGTTAGGCTGATTGGTAACTCTAAATAGTCTCTAGGTGTGAGTGAGAGAGTGAATGGTTGTTTGTCTCGTTTGTCTCTATGTGTCCTTGTGATGGACTTGCGACCCGTCCAGGGTGTACCCCGCCCCTCGCACAGTGATTGCTGGACATGGGCACCGGCGACCCCCGTGACCCAAAATGGAAGAAGCAGGTAAAGATAATGGATGGATGGATGGATGGATGGATGGATGGATGGATGGATGGATGGATGGATGGATGGATGGATGGATGGATGGAGCTTGCCCCAAATCAGACAACTTGAACGCTTTTAGCCGTATGGTGTCTCAAAATGCTTTCATCCTCTGTGCTTTTATCATCTCATCCACGTCTGATGGAGGTCAAACAGTTTTGAGTTCTGTAATTCTGAAGATGTGTTTGTGTCAACACTTTTCCTCAGCAGAAACTTTCATGTACTGTAAAGTCTAAATCCTTTATGATCTGACTGTCCTGCAGTTTAGAAACTTATTTGTTGGTCTCTTGATGAAATTAATCTATTTACCGTATTTTTCGGACTATAAGGCACACTTAAAATTCTTTAATTTTCTCAAAAATCAACAATGAGCCTTATAATCCAGTGCACCTTATGTATTAATTCTGGTTGTGCTTACTGACCTCAAACAGATTTTATGAGGTTCACAGCCCTCAAAAATCTGTCAACATGGTTTAGTTTTGCTTAATACACCTTATAATCCAGTGAGCCTTATAGTCTGAAAAATACAGTACCAGTGCTCTGGTACAGTTGTCTCTTTCTTACACCAGAGTCGGGTGTGTTTGCGCAACACTGTCATCGATCATGCTAACCTAAACCTGTCAGTAAGACATGTTCAGATCAGCATTTAGCACCATGAGCACAAGCACAGAGTGTGAGTAATGAAGTACAGCTAGTGGAAACACTCAGCATCATAACCAGCCTGAGGTGCCGGATGTTCAGGCTCACTTAGTGTTGGATAAAAACATGATGAACAAACATAGACAATGTTCCCTGGAACATCAGATTGTCATCTAGATTTAGAATCTAGAATTGTGTCATTTTAAGCAACATCAGGTGAAACTTGACCAAAATTGGGCAAAACCTTAAACATTTAAATAATTTAAACATCTCATCCTGCAGGATGAGCGGTCATTTATTGTGTATAATCTGTGGCTTTAAACTTCACCTTTTGATGGCCTTGATGTCAAAGTTTACGTGATGAGTTGCAAGTGTCTGTGTGTGTCGTCCTGAATAGAGCAGTGCGCATGTGCGTCATTCTGCTCTCCACCGCGCCGCTCTCCAAACGCAGCTCTGACAAATGCGCAGCCTGACCTGGTTTGATCCACTAAAATCTGTCTGCCTCCAGACTCTCCTCCCTCCACCCTGCGCGTCAGCAGCAGCCACGTCCGGACCAGAACCAGCTGCAGTGACAGGGACCGTCTCTTCAGCCTCGAGCTGAGGATTTGCTCCTCGTGTCCCGGACACAGAGAGGTTACCGGTGCGCGCGCTCTTTACGCACAGCGCGGACTGTTGGAGAATCTGCACCATGCCCGGGGCCACAGCTTCCGTAGCAGATGGGTCCATTGAGAAAAAAGATGTCAGACGGGATGGGAATAACTCAGGTAAGACATATGAGTCCAGAGTTGAATGTCTGTTGCAATTTTATTTTTATTTATTTATTTTTGGCACTTACTATGTGTATTTACTTCAAAGTTCTTATGGGCTGACATCTAAAATATCCTTTTAGAAACTTTTTGTTTTAAGTTTTGTGAGGGAAATGTGACAGAGGCACCTTTTGTGCATGCAGGTGCACAAATAGTTGTGCACCTGCATGCATCATTTGACTAACAGGATGTTTTCTTTATTGTTTGTGTAAAATACTATTTCAGTTTATTGTGTTTCACAGAGCAACAAGTTCTGTTCATTGATTTAGTGATGGACAGATGAAGCTGAGCCAGAATTATTCTTGATCAAAGGAAGAAAAGAAAAGGAGGAAGTGAAAGAGGTCCTTAAGAGAAGCACAGCTGTACAGCAGTCACGTGTTGCACAAATTTACAAATTTCAAGTTAACAAATTTGAATGTAACCCTCAAACTGTAATCATCAGATGCAAAACTCATACACCTTAGGAATCAATCCAGTACAAGATGGCCGCCACACCTATCAACCTTGGGCAACACAAAAATACTACAATTCAATTCACATTTCTTGAGCTAAAATTTGGTGCATTGGTAGCTAAGACATACTCTGAAGGAGCTTTATGTAAAGCTTGTCCCTGCCTGTCTGTTAGCAAAATATCTCATTACTAATCAGACAGATTTTAATGAAAGTCTCAGAAAGTAATCAGTGGATAAACAACTGAATAACTTTTGGTGTAAGTTTGATTTCGCTGTCACAGCTAATCAACCTTAGCAAACACAAACAGCTGGTGCTGGTGAACCCAGCAGTGCAGACAGGCAGGCAAGGACCCAGGATGAATATATAACAATAAATAATTTATTAACAAAATAAAAGAGCTGACAGGGTAGCAAAACAAACATAGAAAGATCAGGAGGTAGCCACGATACAGACATGTCATCACCAGTGAGCAAAAGACAATGTCAGGACAAGGACTAACACAGAGACAGACTTATATACAGGAAACACTAATTAGATAAAGTGGAGGCACCTGTGAGTAATCACAGATGCCAAAGAAAGAGATAAGGGATGCAAGACATAAACACGACAAAAGATGGAGCTAGATACTAAAGAAACACAAACCCTATAAAGATAGAATCAGAGGATCAGGGGAATGCAGACATAAACATGACACCAGGGACAAAACCACAATGCCTATATAATTAGGAGCAGTAGTAGCTGAGAGTCCTCCACAACACTTACTCTGAGGGCTAACTCATCCTATAAGACAGGGCTATTCAACTGGCAACCCAGGGGTCAAATCAGGCCTGCGGGTGAGCTCAGTTCAGCCCACCAATGGGTTCATTTTGAAATAAAACTAGATTTAAATTGTAAAACAAACTTACTTAATGGTAATAGCTGCTGTGTGTCCGGCCCCTGAGCTCTTGGCTTTCAGTAACTGTGACCCCTTGAGCCATTTAGTTGAATAACCCTGCTAGGAGATCTCACAGTATTGCGTGTGTTTGCAGAGGTTTTTTTTTTAGATTTGTCCAGAACGTCATCATTTTTCAAGATGATTTTAGTTTATGAAAGGTGGTGGGTGATGTGCATTTATTTAAGGATTGGTCTGTCTTTAGTGTCAGACATTAAGGACATTCTGGTTAATCCCTCCATGGCCACAAATGGAGAATTACGTTAAAACCAGTCAAAAGTTTCTCCCAACAAATAAGATGACTTTAACGTCTCCTGATCCTGCTCTCCTTTTTATTCTCACTTGGAAACCACAAAATGGATCATATCTGTTTGTTATAGAGATAAATTAATCTCAGAAAGATTCTCAAACTCATACAACAAAATTTGCATCGTTTTTAGACTAAATTAGCTCCATAGTTTGTTTCCAGCTTTCCAGATGAAGTCATACTCTGATGCTGAGTGCTGCTCTGTGTGATAGCACATTGTTTGGTTCCAGATGACCTGTGGGCCTCCACCAACCTCACAGACATTTTGTTGAAAGACTTATCTTGTTTCCTGCTTCAATACAGTTGCAGTGGATGCAACATGCATGAGAGAGGTTGTGTGTTCAGTCCTGTTGTGTTTCAAGGCTGATAGCTGTGGAATGACATTCTCATCGGTGGTGCTTCCTTGTTGATTTATGTTCACACAGTTCATGCTGCTGTGTCGTCTGCTCAAACTTTTGTGCACATTTGGCATTAGCAGGCCACAGTGACTCAGCTGCAGCAGCTGGTATCTGACTGACCTCCATCTCTCTGCTCCAGGTCACCAGTGCACACCCGTGCCCCTGCCGTCATTGGGCACCCAACGAATCATCCAGGGCAACGGGACCAATGTGGGCACTGTCATTTCCCTGCAGTGTCCGGACAAACACAAACTGGTGGGAAAAGAACTGAAGTGTGTCATGGGCAACAACAGCACCCAGTGGGTGGGGGGAACCTTCTGCCAACGTGAGTAAAAATAATAAAAACTAGATAAATCAAGACCGTTTTTATCGCCATCATTTATGTCAGCTTTATCTTATCAAAGCCTTCACGAAATTAACAGAACAGCCCATATTTTTTTTCCAAAACAAAACACTTTTGTAAAAAAAATAAACCTTTGTAACAAGACAATAATATGAGCTTCATTAAGAAAATACATGTCACGTGGTTTTAAAATACACACACTACAGATCATCTTTATAAACTCAACAAAAATAAAATCATTATTAAAATTCATGTCATTTGGTATAAAAATACACCATGAAAAGATTTGTAATGTGTTATATGTAGTTATATGTTGTTTTATGTTGTTATATGTTGTTTTATGTTGTTATATGTTGTTACATATTGTTATATGTTGTTATATGTTGTTATATGTTGTTATAAATGTTATATGTT